TTGGCATGGGAAACATCATGTTTTCACCTCCCATACYAGCTGTGTTGCGGGTCGGTGTAACCCCCGATGGAGTTGATTCATAATTTGCCATAGGGCACTGTTGAAAACAGTCCAAACACCACACAACTACACTACAGCCACAAGCAAAGTACCAACCCTCAAGGAATTTACTTCTAGGATGTGAGGAAGAGAACAAGACACTACTGAAATCAACTCTGAGATGGTTCAATCATTAAACCAGCCCAGTAATCAGTCCAACACAACCAAGGCAGACATTACTATCAGTCCGACTGCAGACTCATACAGTCTAATAGTCCAACATCCAAACAAATATATAGAACCAAGGAATAAGCCCTTCACACCATTGGCCAAAAAAGACAAAAACAAGAACACACCTGTCCAACACCTGTACGAAGGTGCCAACCTGAAATCGACTTCACAACATCGAATAGAGAAGGAAGAGAGTCTCTATCAGCATCGCCCTTCTCCGATTAGGGTTTCCTTGATATTACGACCAAGGAAAAAACCACAGGAGGTGCCGCCAGTAATCTGCAAGGGTTTCTTTGTCTTCCACGTCCAAGAATTTAAAGAAGGAAGGAAAGGCGAAGCAGGTTCAAAACAGGAGGGATGAAGGTCTTTTACAACCCAGAAAACCTTGCTCTGATACCATGTAATCATTCATGGAGAGTGGAAGATGAGAGAGAGAGAGAGAAAGAGAAGAAAAGGGAGATACGATTGAGAGGAAAAGAAAAATCACTACTAGCTGCCGCCAGTTCTTTATTTATATTAACTTAATAAAAAGAATAGAAATTACAAGTATGCCCCTGGCGACACACCCTAGAACCAAACTAATAAGAAAAAAAGAAAAGTAACTAACTGACAGTATCTTAAGATGTCAGCCTACTAACAACAACTACAAAGTAACAATTAAATAAGCCTTACAACATAGAGAAAAGGCCAAATGAAATGACAATGATACCCCTAATTAGTAGAAGAGGAATAAAAATGCCCCTGATTATAAATGTGGTTTCCTTTTAACACTTCCCTTCAAGCAGAGTACATACCCATCTTGTGTATGTCCTCGTCAAACTTCAAATTTGGAACAACTTTGGTTAGAATATCTGCTAGTTGGCCTTGAGATTGAACACATGGAAGGAAAATTTCTCTACTAGCAATCTTCTCTTGACAGTGTCTGTCCACCTCAATGTGTTTGGTGAGGGCTGCATGGGATTATGAGCAATAGTTGGTGCAATCTTATTATCGCAATATAGCTTTTAGGACCATTAGTCTTAATACCTAAATCCACCAGCAAGGTTGTTATTTTTTTTCTGTCTTTTTTTTTTTTTCACTTTTCTCCTAAAAGTGCAATCTTTCTCTCTTTCTTCGCTATTTTAGATTTGAATCTTTCTCTCATGGTTCAGATCCTTGATTTCCTCCTTCCTCCTATCTTGTTCGTCTGTTCTACATCTGACAGTTGTTTTTTGGCTATCCATCCTAAAGGGGTTTTTCAAGGCCTAAATTGTAATCATTTTTCTGTTCTTCTTTTGATATAAGCAAGACACAAATATGTCATACATGGTTCCATTATCATTAACCATATAAAGCCCATCCATACAGGAGGATGCTGAATTTTTCTTGTAAGTATTAATTTATTAAATTTCAGGGAAAAATGAATTTATCCTTTAATTGACCTTTGAGGCTGGTGTGATAAAACAAACTACTGTACTGTTAATTCAAACTAGGTAAATTCAACCCCAAATAGGAAATAGGAGAAAGAGCTCTATGGTCCATCTATCTTTTCTTACATGGGTTGTTTATGACAATAGGGCTATAATAGTCACTTTGTAAATAACTGCAAGGCTATACCTAACTTGCATCTAAGTAGCCATGACTGATCTCAAGGATGTGCATGAGTAGTGATAGTGATTTCATTATTTTGGAGGACCAACTTTGTTGATTCTGGTAAGTTCCTCACTTGTACAGTCAAGGTGTTGAAGACTTTGGCAAGTCTGACTGATGTAGGATGTGTTAGAGTTCTACTAATTTAAGATATGATGGTGGGATTTGTGGGGTGAATGAGGGGCTCTGGGGGTGATTAGAGATGAAGAATATGGAGGGAAAAGCAAGTAGGGTTCTTGTTGTGCACCAAAGAATGAGTAAGAAATTAGAAGAGAGAGGTAAACTCTTTCTGTTAGGGAGAACAGCAAAGAGACAGATCACTTAGAAGAACAAATAAGTCCGGGAGTTGATATAAATAGTAGTAAGTCCTATGAATTCTTTTGCATCTGCATTGAGAGAGGTAAACTCTTTCTGTTAGGGAGAACAGCAAAGAGACAGATCACTTAGAAGAACAAATAAGTCCGRGAGTTGCTATAAATAGTAGTAAGTCCTATGAATTCTTTTGCATCTGCATCATTCTCCCCTGTTTCAAAGATATTCTCAAGTTTTGAAGAGAGGAAGAATCAATAATTGCTTCATCCTGGTGCCGGGGATCATAAGGGTGATAAAATCGGCAACATAAAAGGTTATGTCTTTGTCTTCAGGAATCACCATATCAATGTGATGAAGCTCTTCTTGATCTGCAATGACCTCTTTAAAGAAACCATCAGGAAATGCCAATCTTTACGTTTTGGATGAAGTTGTTTTTCAAACATTTGGCACATTCCCTCATGAACTTCTTCCTTAGGCTTAAGAGGAGACTCTATTGCTTTAATAATATATGGATCTTTATCGGGTTGTCTTTCTTCCTCTTCAACTTTATCTTGAGTTGCAGCCTCTGCAATAAGAACATTGAGGGAAATTTTATGCTGAGACACTCTACTAGCCTTTCTCCATGTCTATAAATAGTAGTCCTTCTGATGGAGAAGGGATTCGTTCATTCCTTTATTCCCTTCACCACTGGTAGTCATTCTGGTTGAAGCTTTTCTCTGGCCAAATCCTAACTCCTACTTCCTTTTCCATCTCGACTTCAGAGCCTAGACCACCATCACCATCGCCTTACAGATGCCATAGAATTAATTCGACCAAGGAGTTGACCCTTTTCTTCTTCATAGCTATGAATCAAATCATCAAGCTTGGCATTGACTTCTTTCATAGTAGGGTTCATCATGTTTTCATGGTAGGCTCCGAGACCTCTTGATTTAACTCTGATATGGCTATGATACCTATTGTTTTAATTCTGATATGACTCTGATGCCTCTTGATATGACACTAATATCTTGTGGTTTGGCTCTGATACCTCTTAATTTAACTCTGATATGGCTTTGGTACCTCTTGATATGACACTAACATCTTGGGGTTTGTCTCTTATACCAAACTGATGTAGGATGGGTTAGGGTCCTACTAATTTAGGATGTGGTGGTGGGCTTTGTGGAGAGAATGAGGGGCTGTGGGGTGATTAGAGATGAAGAATATGGAGGGAAAAGCAAGTAGGCTTCTTGTTGTGCACCAAAGAATAAGCAAGGAATTAGAAGAGAGAGGTAAACTCTTGCTGTTAGGAAGAACAGCAAGAGATAGATCACTTAGAAGAAGTATGAGAGAGAGAGAGAGATGAAAAAAAAAAGATAAAGAAACTTCTGGCAACAACCAGAATTCACTAAACCAATCTTTATTTCATCAAATCGCTTCTTTGAACTCCAATTACAATGACTTTTTATAGACTCAACTTACTGACTCGGATGTCCCCTTTTAGTCTCCAATTTGGACTAGGAAATTGACCCAACACAACAGCTACTTACTTTAGAACTAAGACAAATCCATAACTAACCCATTAGAACACTTAAATAATGACTTCAACTCCTAAACAAATCTAATAACACTTTTCTAATTCATCTATAACTACTTTTAATTTAAATACATCAGAAATTAGTAAAAACAGTAAACCGCAAGTTTACTAAAAATAGCAACCACAAGAAGTACTATAAATAGTAAGTACACGAGTTACTATAAATAATAAGTGCGAGAGTTACTATAAATAGTAATTTCGAAATAGCAATCTAAAAAGCAGAACCTTATTCTTAACCCGAAACTAAAAATAAAAAAGCAGAAACAGTACCAATATCCTAAATCCCAAAAATAAATGTTGTTTGTTTTCTCTTCAATTCTTTCCTTGCTTCTGCATCTGCATCACTGACACAGCTTTTGACTTGTCAGCCCTCCATAAAAATGGAAGTCTTGTGTCATGTTGGCATTTAATCTTGTATTCATAGGATGTTTGTTATGATTCTTAGTTTTTTTAATCTGTACATTTTTTTTCCTATGTTCCTTTTTCCTGTCAAGGGCTTGGGTGAGGCTAGAAAAGTTGATGAAGCATTTCGCATACTTGAATCCGTGGAACAAGGTACTGCTGTGGGAAGTCCAAAGTTGTCCCCACCACTCATGTATGGTCTGTTAAATGCGTTGATTGAAGCAGGTAAGCGTTAGAGTGATAATAATATGTATAACATCCTTTAACTGTGGAAAATGTCTCAGCATGAAATTTCATTTTCCAAGAAAATAAAATGCTTGAGTTTGTTATTAATCAAATATTGTTGTAGATGTATTGATCAAAAAAAAATATTGTTGTAGATGTTCTCATGCTTGTATATATACTATACTACTAATCAAGAGATAAACTTCATTTTTGTTTGCTTTTTCTTTTTCAGATTTCAATATTGCAAACTGTTTCCTGATAAGTGCTATTTTCATGGCCTTATGAAGTATAAATTGATCTGCTTGGTTGAAATCAAACATGTTAGACAGTTGGGTGTGCCCTATAAAATTATGCTAGTGGTGCCAAAATTTAAAGCTCAAGGAGCTCATCATGAAAAAGCAATTCACATTTAGATTGTTGAGACAGCTCATATTTATTTATTTTTCATTATTTACTTTATTAGTCTGCTGCTGTTATTGTATTGTATGACCAGAGGGGTATTCTGCTGATATTGTCTCTCACAAGATTTCCTTCTTATTGAGACATTCTTCCTAACTTTTGATTAGTGCAGGAGATCTACGCCGTGCTAATGGTCTGCTTGCACGTTATCGTGTTGTTCTAAATGAATGTGATGGCCCTTCAATCATAGTGTACAATTTACTGATGAAGGTTTTCTTCTGATATTTTCTTTATTAAGATAGTAGTTTGCTGCATTAGCCTCATTTTTCATTTTTTTTTGTCGTACATATGTTGTGGTCTATGTTTTCTAGTTAATTCAGCAGTGCATGGCATGTTCTCCTGGACTTGGATTTCTGCTTTCTGAATACAAAATCTTTATAAACTCACAAATAAATGATCCTTTGCCTAAGAGTTTGAACTTTCATTCTCCAGGGATATATAAACATGGGTTTTCCTCAGCATGCTTTATCTTTGTATGATGAAATACTACGCCAAGGATTGAAGCCTGATAAGCTCACTTATAACACTATGATCTTTGCATGTGTTAAGTCTGGGAGAATGGACGCTGCAATGCACCTGTTTTTAGAAATGAAGGTCCCAATCAAGTACTTCAAAGGCTAGTGTAGAGCTGCATTTTTTTTTTCATTATGCAAAAACTTTCTCCATCATTTGCAAATAATTATTTACGTTTTTCTTTTTCCAGGATCAAGCAGATAATGCTAAACATCATCATCTTCTTCCTGATGTTATCACTTACACTATATTAATTAAGGTCAGTTATCAAGTTCATGAGTGTTAGAGAAGCACAAAAACAGTTGTTTGGCTCAAAAATGGGAGTATTCGTGCCTTTAACTGTTGTCTAAAGGTGTTGCTATATGTATTTTTTTCCTAAATTACTTTTTAAATAAACTTGTGATTTACTATTTAGGTAATTTTGGGTATTATAAGTTCATTTTAAAAGGATTAATAATGGGTATCTAGAGTTGATTTAATGAGGGTGGGCCTTGATGCAATGGTTGGGTTGCTCCATTGCGACCAGGTGATGAGGGTTCAAATCTTGGAAACAGCCTCTTTAAATGTGCAGGGGTAGGGCTGTGTACATCTGTCCATACGCAGACCCTGCATTGGCAGGAGCCTTGTGCACTGGGCCACCCTTTTGAATTGATTTAATGGAATATAGGTTTATTTTACAGTTGATTGCAGGTAATAGTGTGTTGTCTTTTTTTCCTCTCTCTCTCTCTCTCTCTCTTTTCCACAAGGTGAAATGTTTCTTTTCTTTCTACCATATTTCAGACCGAAGTCTTTCTGTCAAAATTCAGACCCTTATTTCTCCCACTTTTTCCTACTGCATTCACCATAATAGGGCTTTCTCCTTGTTGTCCTACATCAAAATATCCATTGTTTTGTCCTGTTCCTAATTTGTTTACCCAGTTGTTAGTAGGGGAGGGAATTAGGTGGATTGGGTTGGGTGTGCGTTGAAGGGAAGCCCACCCATTAGCTACCCACAGATGTGAACCATTTGAATATGTGAAAATTTGAGGGAAAAAATGAATTGATTGTATTGTCTTGGAAGGAGCATATACACAACTTTATATAGAATTACA